AAATAATGTAATTCGTTCCCTCTGATCGTTGCGCGCACACGTTACTGCCTGTAGAACGAAACACAACGACTACTACCGTCTCTAGTCTTATTATAGTAAATTACATTGTAATTTCGATTTTTGTAAAAAGAGGTGGCAGCCTGCGAGCCTCCGTTGAGAGAGGAGCCTCTGTGCGAAATAAGGGAACGCTATTTATAGTTACCAATAGTAATTTAATTAAGAATCGTCGCTTGGGAGATTAAAAATAAATAATTCCGTTGGCTCGATTCTGTGGACATTTAATTTCCCATCGGAGCCTTCGACGGGATACAAAGTGTAAAAAGAGGAACGATCGGATTTTTAATTTCAATGATGGGGTCGTCGCTGCCACTGTCTCGATTATACCCGTACTAACCACACATAGATTAAGCATAGCAAGGAAAATTGTAAAGGACGTTTGCCTGACATTTTTTTACCGAGAGATGAGAGAAATGAGGATATCAAGCTTTATCCCGAACCACGAGTAGAGTTAGGCGGCGGAGGTGGTGGAAGAAAGCCACTACCCAATTTAAAGCTTTTCAAAATAAAGATTAAAACGAAACTAGACTATCGACAACCGATTCTCTGAGCGTTTACGACGTCTCGAAGCTCTCGTGGTTCTCAGATGAAACCACGAGCCATCGAGCGGAGCCAGCAAGATGGCTAACACACGAACTATTAACGATACTTATTAATGTAAATGGTTTTTCATTACTATATTATAGATGTTACTTATATATGATAATATATTTACAAATAATTAAGCGGAGGCTTGAGAGTTTCATTTCAATTTCCCGTAGTCCCAATTTTTTAAATTCGCTAGGAAATTCTCATTATACAAAATTGGATATTGATTGATTGAGAAAAAAAAGAAACGAACATGATGTTCCGACAATAAATATGTTTTTATTACACATATATCTCGTACGAGGGTTACACGATAGTAATACATTGTTCATTTAACTGTCCAGCAATCAAACACGTTGTATTCAGATTTCTTCATTTTCAAATTTCGTTATTACTTTTTTTTTTGCCATTTTTTGTTTTCAGTTATTTTCTTATCTCGTCGTTATCTCAGCGTCTGATATCGTCGTGACCGTATCTAAAATCGTCGCCCGATACAAACACCATCGTCATCGTCATCACCATTGTCTATCATCAAAATACAATTACGATAATAACGGTAGCAGTAGTAGTAATAATAATAATAATAATAATAACAATAATAGTAATAATAATAATAATAATGATAAAAAATAAAGCACACGCACACAGGTATCTCCGGCAAATGATATTCACTCATACTATAAAACATGAAAATGTTAACAAGCATTTCGTGAGGCAAACTCTCTGGCTCCCAAAGGAAATACTTTAAAGTCACAAAAACGAGGGGGGGGGAGGGGCGAGGAAATAATACTTGTTCGTCGTTCGATCGGTCGTTCCTCGCGGCTGATCAATCGAAGGATTCTATTGGAACAGCGTCTCCGATCAGTCAATCCTTTCATCCGTTTCCCTCGGTTCAACGTTTAATTATCATTAATTGCGATCGCTTACGCCCTAAAGAAGATTCACTTCTTCGTCGTGTACGTGTGTACGTGTGTTTGTGTCTCGTTTGTTTTTTCATTATTTAGTTTAATTCCTCATCTTAATATCTATACGCTCTTACTTGTTAATTTTACTTCTTAACGAACTAAGCTTGGTGGCCAGCCACCAAAGTTTTAAACACTCAAATAGATTCACTGCCTACGGACACAGATTTGTCCTCGCCCTCTTCCTCGAGCGTTCAGCCGTTTCGCTTCGTCTTTCATTGAATTTCGTCATGTAAAAGAAAAAAGAGAACTTCAAACAAACGTGAACTGTTTCCTTTTTTTTTTCCTATAAAATATTTTCTCGAAAAGTCGCCAAGCCTCGAGGAAGAGATCGAGATGGACCGACGCTGGATCACAAGGATCGAGCGTGGATTTAGTTTGAGCGATTCACAGACATCCAAGCGAGAGAGAGAGAGAGAGAGAGAGAGAGTACTTTGCATTTTTTGTCGACTCGATTAATGAAGTGTTTTTACTTTTAAATTGTCGTACTCGATAATTAAACACGTATCGAGATGCAGGGGTGTGTTCTAACTAATTGATTCTCGCCTCGCTGGCACCTAAAAATAAATCTACGATAATTAGCGAAGCCGGAAACGTTTCACATTTCATTCATTTCCCCCTCCTCTTCCTCCTCCTACGACGTACAGAGACACGAGGTTCCTCGAATTTCCGGTTTCGAACGACGAGCTCGATACTAACGTTACATACTCTTTGGTTAAAAACTTATTGTTTCACTTACGCGATAATTTTTTAATGCGTGTGTGCGTCGTGGTTAACGTTGTGTGTGTATGTGTTACAATAAATGTGTACATGATCACGCGGCTACGTTAATTTTAATATAAAAACCATAAATAAAAGGCCAGCCTTCAGCGTTCTATATTAAAATTAACAATCTCGTCCGCATCGGCGACGCCCACGTATTAAACCATGCGCCGCCTCTGCCGGGACGCTCTACGAGTTCTACTCAGCGAGCAATGAGTCTTAACGATTAGGGTAGGCTTAGTCCTAATGTGAACAGTCGGAGAACCCAGGATGTGAAACCGTCGAAAGCTACTAGACTATCTAGTGGTCTTCCGTCCTCTCTTACCCCTGATCCATATCTGCATTTGTCATTCCTGACTCGATCCTCCCCAGTCTTTATAATTCTCATCAAGAATTCTGTTATCCGTTTAAATAATTCCTATTATTTAACTGTGATTCGCCTTTCATCGAAACACTTGGAAAATCAAAAAGCAATGTCACGATTCTCCTCGTTTTAATGTTTTTACTTTCATCGGTTTCATCGGTTCTTCTTGAAAATCCTTTACTTCCCTCATCCGATTTCCGTTTGAACGTGGGGTCAGTGGGCTGGCCTAAAGATCCTCGTCAGAACCGGTTTAATATTGATATGTCAAGAGATAGGCTCGCATCGTTTCCGTGTTTCTTGTTCAGTCCACCACTCGTCGGACAATAATAATAATAATACAATAAAGGGGAAGGAGGCGGTGCTTCCTTGGGTACATATACAGGTACTTGGTGAAGGAGATTCGTGCCCTCCGAACCGCAGAATAAATCCGATCGAACGACGACGACGACGATAGGTTTCGCGCGTAATGGACAATGGTAACAGCGACGATCGCCAAATTCCTCCATCGAGGATGGACGCCGTATACCGCCGCGGCCTCGAGCCAGCCGAGGAACGCGACGTATTGAAATCTTGCCCGTACCAGCGCGGCAAAATCCGAATCCGTTTCAATCATCCATCATCCAAAAAAAACTGCTTCCTTCTATCATCATCCGATTTGGATCAGAGGACCCTCTCGGTCCGGAACTAAATCTGGCATCGACTAGACGTTCCCTGCCTCTTGAAACTCTCCTCGCGACGAGGCTCCTGGTCCTCATCCCCCGTCCGGCGGCGAGCTCAGACGTCGGGCGGACGGGGCGCTCGGCCCGAAAAGCGGGTGAACAGGTCGACAGAAAGAGACCCGGCGTCACTGACGCACCCGCCACCAGCTCTGCTGCACCTTCTCGTGGAGCTTCCTGCAGATACCGGCGAGCCTCCGTCACATCCCAGCCTCGGCCGCGTTATCCTCCGACACACCGCCACCCTCCTCGCTTGGTAATGTCTCCGCTGCGCCGCCGCTGTCACCGGTCTCCGCACCTTCTCCGGTCTCGTCTCCCTCTTCCAGTGTCACCTACGATATTCATTGAATCTTTAGAAATCGATCAAATTTATTTAGAAGAGAAATATACAATTTTATATGAATCGATCGTTTACCTGGAAGTGTATCCTCTCAGACTGCTCGTTTCCCTGTTGCTGGTCATCGGACGGCGGCGAGGGCGGTATCATAGACTGGTACCAGTCCCTGTTCTCCTCGAGTGTGTCCAGAATCTCCTGTGCGTCTGGATGAACCAGATCTGCCCAAGTCTCCCACAAGGGATGAACAATGTAATCAATAAAGCCGACCTGCGACTTCTCGATGGTCGCGCTGTGTCTGTCGCACATGGGGCTGATGTCCATGTTCTGTTCGCGTTCCCTGTCGCCCTGGAGGAAGAACTCCTCCATCAACAGGGCCACCCATCTTCTATACAACGGCAAGGGTTTCGTAGGGTTTGAAAGGTCGGCGCAGTGGACCAGATTCTCTAAAACTTGGATCCTGTCCGTGTAGTTGTCCAATAGAAGAACGCCGGAGCCGGCTACTTTCTTTGTTTCTACCATGGTCTTCAAGTCCGCCAGCAGAGACATGTGCTTGGACATGTCCGTGGACAGGACCATGTCTATCACCATTTTACGTAGGGTCTGACGCTGTTTTTTGGTCATGTTCACGAAGATGTCGCAGCCCTCGTTCTGGAGGAGCTTGAACGCCACTGCCAGGTGGTGGTTCTCCAGCACTGACTCGTCATTGTACATCAGGGCGAGCTCCGAACCTGGAAACGTGATTAAATAATACCATGTAACGATTGTTTCAAGTAAAATACGATTTAATTATTATGATTAGATCGAAGGATACTCACTTGAGTTAATGAGGAACTGATTGGTGAGCCCGGGGTGGTCCACATCGTGAATGGTAGCCGCGAACAGGGCGGCCGTGATTTCCAATGGCGTGAACACGGACTGGAAACAAATGAAATCGATTATAGTACTTGACGAAACAAGTGGAAATTTTTATTTAGAAACGATTCCTGGAAGAGTTTGCGAAACAGTGATCGGGAACAATGGCGGTGGTTGAATGGTATTCACCTCGAGTGCGGGCGTGTTGAGCAGAGTGTGGGTAGACTGCGTCACGTCCGCCGCGTGCAGGCTGTTGTGGAAGGGATTGTCCTTCACGTAGTGATCCTCGAGGGTCATCATGAACGTGACGAAGGTCTTCGGCGGTATCGCCAAGGACTTGAGGAGGTCCCGGGTCTGGAAAACCGTGTAAGCCACGCAGGTCAACGGCCGGTTGCTGCTCAGCTCGCCTATCCTGAATATGTCGATGCCCCACTTGTCGATGTCCGAAAGGAGCTGAAACAATTAATAGTAATCATAAATAAACATAATTA